CTGCAGGACTCGAGCCCTGCATTTAACCCTACTCAAATTAGAAGGTTAGGACATTCCATGTTGTCCAGACAGAGTTAAAGCCCACTATTGTTAGGATGGCATGCAACATTCTAAGGTCATTAAGAGACTAATAACTAACTGACAAGATTACATTTATAATCTGTATGGAAAAATAATACAAAGTCATACATATTTAGGATGCCCGTAGATTACTATCAAATATTTGGGTGATGGTGATAATCCATTAGATGATGTTTTCTGTAAGTATTTGAAAAAGATAACATGATACAAATTTATGGATTTGATGTGGGTTTTACAATAAATATACCAATGTGGAAACAAATTACACCTGCATTTTGAGATTGAGCGTGTGTAGATCACCCATATTTGTGCCAATAGTGACCTCTAGTGGTTTAAAAGAGTGTTGCTATATATAACATTATTTTGTATTTTTGTCTTTTGAAAACTTGCCAAAGTAGATATTCACTAAGTAAACTGATAGATACACATCTTAGATTCTATGCAGACCCCCTCTAATGTATGCATGTAGATCCAGCAGGGATTGCTTTAGAAGAATAATATGATGCAAATTAAATAAACACCAGTAAACCCAGTTTAAGCCATGGGGCTATATGTACTAAAATAAAGAGAAAACACGATCACACCCAGACCATGCATTATGTAATAGTGATGCTTTTAAAATGATCAAAATTTATATAAAATAAGCTGGTATCAATGCACACATTAAACCCCAGAAAACCTCCTTAAAATCATCATTGCATCATACCATATAACCATATGATGTGTACATACCAGTGAATAAATGTGTGATGTAATGTGTAATGTGGGGGGGAGGGCAGAGGGGGCCAATTAAAATTTAAGTCGGGAGGACTCCGGGAGTCTTCCTTCACAAGCTGCAGCTGCACTGTCACTGTGAAATTGTGTTCCACCCTTTTCCCATGCGGCCAAAGGGGGCACTGTGCTGGGAGGACTTCCTCCTAGGCCATAGAGAGCAGCGCATGGGAGAGACAGGGTAAAGAAGCTCAGCTCTGCACAGAGGCATCCAGACAGCTGTTGGTAAGTGTGAGTCAGTGTGAGTGGTTCAGTCTCTGTGTGTGTGTGTGTGGACTTCAGTCGGTGCGGTGTGTTGTCTGTAAGCTGCTGGCCGGGGTCTGTGCGGTGTGTGTGTGCGTGCGCGGCCGGGGTCTGTGTGTGTGGTCTCATTCCTGTGTGTGGGGGCCTGCCCAGGCGTGGCTGGGCTCGGCCAGTGTGTGTGTGTGAGTATGGGTCAGTCTGTGTGTGTGGGGGTGGGGTCAGTTTGTGTGTTTGTGCCAGTCTGTGTGGGGTGGGTCAGTCTGTGTGTGTATGGGTGTGGGAGGCTCAGTCCGTGTGTGTGGGGATCAGTCTGTGTGTGGAGGTGGGAGGTTCAGTCTGTGTGATTGAGGATCTCAGTCTGTGTGTATGGGTCAGTTTGTGTGGGGTGTGTCAGTCTGTGTATGGGGGGTCAGTGTGTGTGTATGGGTCCGTCTGTGTGGGGTGGGTCAGTGTGTGTGTGGGGGGGTCAATGTGTGTGGCAGGGTCAGTTGGTGTGTGTGTATGGGTCATTCTGTGTATGAGGGGTCAGTCTGTGTGTGTGTATGGGCATGGGTGGGTTCAGTCTGTGTGTGGAGGTGGGGGGCTCAGTCTGTGTGTGGGGGTCAGTCTGTGTGTAGGTGTGAGGATCAGTCTGTGTTTGTGTTTGGGGTCAGGCTTTATATATGGGTCAGTCTGTATGTAGGGAGCATTCTGTGTGTGGAGGTGGTGGGTTCAGTCTGTGTGTGTATGGGTCAGTCTGTGTGAGGGTCAGTATGTGTGTGTATTGGTCAGTCTGTGTGTGGTGGGTCAGTCTGTGTATAGGGGGGTCGGTCTGTGTGTGTGTATGTATGTATGTATGTATGGGTCAGTCTGTGTGTGGGGGTGGGGGTCAATTTGTGTGTATGGGTCAGTCTGTGTGTGTGAGGGGCTTAGTCTGTGTGTATGTATGGGTCAGTCTGTATGGGGGTCAGTCTGTGTGTGTGTGTATGGGTCAGTCTGTGTATGTGGGGAAGCAGTCTGTGTGTGGTGATCAGTCGGTGTGTGGAGTTCAGTCTGTGTGTGTGTGTAACGGGGGAGCAGTCTGTGTGTGTATGGGTGTCGGGGGTTCAGTCTGTGTGTGGTGATCAGTCTGTGTGTGGAGGTGGGGGTCAGTTTGAGTGTAAGGGTCAGTCTGTGTGGGGGTCAGTATGTGTGTATGTATGGGTCAGTCTGTGTATGGGGTGGTCAGTCTGTGTGGCACGTTCAGTCGGTGTGTGTGTATGGGTCAGTCTGTGTATGGGGGAGCAGTCTGTGTATGGGGGGTCAGTGTGTGTGTGTGTATAGGTGTGGGGGTTCAGTCTGTGTGTTTGCTGATCAGTCTGTGTGTGGAGGTGGGGGTTCAGTCTGTGTGTGGGGTCAGCCTGAGGGGGGTCAGTCTGTGTGTGAGGGAGGGTCAGTCCGTGTATTTATGGGTCAGTCTGTATGTAGGGGAGCAGTCTGTGTGTGTGGGGATCAGTCTGTGTGTAGAGGTGGGGGGTTCAGTCTGTGTGTGGGGGGATCAATTTGTGTGTATGAGTCAGTCTGTGTTGAGGGGCTCAGTCTGTGTGTGTGGGGGGGTCAGTGTGTGTGTATGGGTCAGTCAGTGTGTGTATGTGTACGGGTTAGTCTGTGTGTGCGTCTAGTACTTGCACCGGACACCACTTGTTCCCTGAGGGGTAGTAAGTTATGTGCACTGGTTCCCCCATCTGACTTGTTTTGGTCTTAGGTAGGGTCAGAACGTAGTAGTCAGTGTGTTTCCTGAGGTAGGACGTGAGGAGGCACCCTTGGCTATG